TCCAGAGCATCCTCCGATGCTAGACCACTTAATGTAGGAGGGTCGTACTTCTTGTACCTCTCAAGCCTCCGCTGCTCCTCCTCTGAAGCTGCTACCCTACCCTTGGGCTGAACTGGGGCTACAGGCGGTACCGGTATTACCTCTGGGATTTGATCAACCTGAACCCGCTGCTCAGGAGTGCAGGTGGCGGGAGTCTGTGATCCTCTCCCGGCCTGAGATGTGGCTGCAGCAAAGGGGATCAACCCTGCCTGAGCTAGAGTGCTATACATGCTCATGAACTGTGCAAGGGTTTCCTGAAGAGCTGGAGTAGTAGTAGTAGGCGTATCAGGTGTCTTTGCTCCGACTGAAGCTACTGGTGGCTCCTTTGCAGCAGCTCGCGCGGGTGCTCTAGCTACACCACGTGCACGTCCTCGGCCTCTACCTCGGCCCCGTCCTCGGGCAGCTCTAACGGGGGGCGCGGGTGCGTGGTCATCTCCTGTAGCATGTGTCCTCACCATCTGTGAGAGAATAGAAGACAAAAGTTTAAAATTTTGAAGTCAATAATCTCGTACAACAAGGAATCAAATAAAGTGGAATTTTCCTAACAGTTCCATAGCCTCCCCAAGATAAGTACAGACCTCTCCGTACTGATCCGCGAGACTCTAATAAACCAGATTGTGACTCACCACTCCTATAAACCTAGACCTCTGATACCAATTTGTCACGACCCAAGTTCTCCCTCCGCGAACTATCATGACGGCACCTAGTCTCTACGACTAGGTAAGCCTAATATTGTGGAAAATAAAATAGAAACACAAAGATAACATCTAACAGATATAGTTAATAAGTAGAAACGACGCCGCTCGACATATACAATAATCACTTTTCCCAAAACCCAGAATGTTGCAATGTCACAAGATTCTAAGAAGTCCTATCAGTTCTATACATCATTTCTACGGAAAAGAAGAAAAATGAACATAGGGGATAGAAGGGGACTCCGAGATCTGCGGACACGGCAGGTGTACCTTGAAGTCTCCTGAAGCAGCAACCACACAGCTAAACTCGAGGCTGATAGCTAGTACTTGGATCCGCACACGGAAAAACATATGCAGGAAAGGGCATGAGTACACCACAATGGTACCTAGTAAGTGCCAAGCCTAACCTCGGTCGAGTAGTGACGAGATCAGGTCAGGGCCCTACTGGTATAAATATAATGAAATAAGACTGAAAGAATTTTACAGTAAAAACTAAATACGAAAATATAACATGAATAGAATTCAATGAGAAGCTGCAGCTCAGAACGCAGTAATAGCAACAGGGGATCTCACGGGATACCGTCCCGTAGTCCTAAACATAAATGTGCAGGAAGATCTCCTGGAATACCGTTCCGTAGTCCCAAAGTAAATATGCAGTATTGGGGGATCTCCCAGAATAGCGTTCCGTAGTCCCAAAGTAAATATGCAGTACAGGGGGATCTTCCGGAATACCGTTCCATAGTCCCAAAGTAAATATGCAGTGCTGGGGGGTCTCCTAGAATACCGTTCAGTAGTCCCAAAGTAAATACGCAGCACAGGGGAATCTCCTGGAATACCGTTCCGTAGTCCCAAAGTAAATATGCAGTACATGGGGATCTCCCAGAATACCGTTCCATAGTCCCAAAGTAAATGTGTAGCTCAACCAAACAGAGATAACAGTTACAGCATGAAACCACAATTTAGGCTAAGTTCGAGTAAAGGAAGAACAGGAAAATTTCACTAAAACATGCTACACAGAGTTCTAATTGGCAGTAAAGACAATTGAGGCACGTAGGCATGCTTTCTTAAACTAATTAGGATAGTTACATATGCTAGTGTTACTCAATTAAAGGAAAACAAATATTTGCTTAATGAAAACGGATTTTTCAACAAATAGCATGTGTACGCACTCGTCACCTCACGTACACGGAGCTCATATATCAAACAATACCAAATCCTAAGGGGAGTTCCCCCACACAAGGTTAGGCAAGCCACTTACCTCGAATTAAATGCCACTCAAAGCTCAATCACAGCTTTGCCTTTCAAACACGCCTCCGAACCAACAATATCTAGCAAATTACCAACCAAACGTTCCAAAATAAGCCTTAGGAATCACCACAATGACAAAAGACTCAATTTAGGTCATTATTAAAAAAATCAATAAAAGTCAACGCCCGGGACCGCTTGGTCCAAACTCAAAATTCGGACCAAAACTTACCCATTCACCCCCGAGACCGGATATACAATTGATTTTGGAATCTGACCTCAATTTGAGGTCTAAATCCTCAATTTATCAAATCCCTAATTTCTACCCAAAAATCGCCAATTCCACCATGAAAACCTTAGATTCTAGGTTGAAATCTTGTAAAATGAAGTGAAAGATTGAAAGAAACAAGTTAAGAACCACTTACCTATGATTTGGGGAAGAAGAAGTCTTGCCTCCTGTGTTCTAGATTTTGAATATTTGGAGAATGAATGAAAAATCCCGTCCAAAATCATTTTGATCAGTTGTAGGTGTCACATTTGCGACCTGGGGTTCGCAAATGCGAAGAACACATCGCAATTGCGAAGGTCTCTCTAGTCCTGCTTTCATCGCAAATGCGAAGAAAGTCTCGCAATTGCGACCAATTGATCGCAATTGCGATCCCTACCATTCCTAGACTCCCTTCGCCAATGCGAAGGATGGTTTGCAATAGCGAACCCTGCTGTCTAAGCTTCTCCTCGCAAATGTGAGAATTAGCTCGCAAATGCGGACTCCTCAGAGCTCGCAATTACGATGCCTGATCTCGCAAATGCGACATTAGAGGCCTGCAACCTGTTCAGTTACACCAGCAAATTTTCCAAGTTCAAATCACTCCATAGCCTATCTGAAACTCACCTGAGTCCTCGGGACTCCAAACCAAACATGCACACAAGTCTGAAAACATCATACGAACTTGCTCGCGCGATCAAATCGCCAAAATAACATCTAGAACCATGAATTTAGCACCAAATCAAATGAAATTCTCAAGAACACTTTGAAATTTTTATTTTCTCCACCAGACGTCTGAATCACGTCAAACCAACTCCATTTTTCTTCAAATTTCACAAACAAGTCTTAAATATTAAATTGAACCTGTACCGGGCTCCAGAAAAAAAATACGAGCCCGATACAACCAAGATAAAATATTAAGATTTTTCTTTAAACCGTTAAATTTTCAGGCTCTCAATTTTCAAAAAAAATTCATAACTCGTGTTTGGGACCTCAGATTCCGATTTAGGGCAAACGCCCAGGTCCAATATTTTGATATAGACCCACCGGGACTCAGCGACGGACCCAGAATTTTGCACAAGCGGGTTCAATTTAAAATGACGCGAATCAATAGTATAAGCAATATCGAACATGCCAACATAATTTGGCCACATCTTTGTTAATTTTCTTCATTCTTTTTTGTCTCTTGTCTTTATAGTATGATGTTAAAATTAAGTCATTTAAAAGGGAGCGCGCTATATTTTGCAAATTTTGGCATTTTAAAAGTATAAAAACTATTTCCACTTCATTTTATGTACAATTTATCTTTTTTTTTCACCAAACACTCATCTATTTAATTAAACAAATTTACTTTTTCAAAATTTTGTTATACTTTAACAAGAAAATCATTAAACCAATTAAAAAATTTATTAACGCCATAAAAAAATTGACAAAATATTAAATTCTTTTGTGTTTATAACTAAGAAGGTATTATTTACAAATAGAGGATAACAAAAAAGAGTTACAATCTCAACTAAATTAGTACTAATAATTAAAGAAAGAGGGATAATACATTAAACCAAATACTTTTGTATAAACCAATAAATTTTTTGAATATGAACTAACAAATGATAAATAATTTCATCAAATATACTCGCATGATTTAGCAAAACTTATGAAATAGAGAACTAAAAATCACTTTGTAGAAAGGTTTAATTTTTTAAAGAAAGACAGTTGATTTCTATTGAATTAGGTTAAAAATAAGAAGGAAAAAAATAGAGAAAAGACAAAATTGAAGTAATAATTTTGCAAGTTGGTTGTGTTACTAGTTAGATTGACCGGGAAAGACACGGTAGCTCACAAGACCTATCATTGCACATTTAATGTCGCAAAACAAACAGAAAAGGAAAATTGCAAAATAAATACTACGGAGAAACGTGAATCGAACACGCGACCTCGTTGAAACTTAGAACCGGCATGACCATCTCTACGGGCGTAGTGTTGCAGTCAAGTGGGTTCAAATAACATTATATACATATTTTAACTGTTTTAAACATAAATTGCTAACGCATACAGTACCATTTTTCAGTAAAGCGGATTCAACTGAACCCGCTTAGTAACACATGGGTTCGCCCCTGCCGGGACTGTCAAAGCACGAATCCGGATCCGTTGACCAAAAATGTTGACCGAAGTCAAATCAAACGAAGTTTTTAATCAAAAATTCTTATTTTTGTCAACTTTTAAAACAAAAACTTTTTGGAAATACGCCCGGACTGCGCAAGTAAATCGAGGAGGGATAAAATAAGGCTTTTAAAACCTCGGAACACATAATTTGGTTTTTAATTCATAAGATGACCTATCGGGTCATCACAGGATTAAAACTTTAAAAGGCTACAATTGCAGTTGATTGATTTTAATTCAAGTGGCCATGATTTACATGCCCATTCCAGCCTAATATCCTATTAGTTGGCCCAAAAACACTGGCCCAACAACCCTCACTCGGTTCGGCCAGCCCCACTACCCGTCCTACTTGGCGATCCACGCCACTTACTAATCAAAACACGCTACGTCACCTCTCCATATCACTAAAACAACAGATACAATTCATCTGGATCGTTAATCAAAGTCATCAACGGTCCAAAATCAACCATAATTCCCTTTTACTTTTAAAAACTCCTAGTTGTTTTATCTCAATCGTCTGATCAAAATAATTCTATGGCCCCCGTTTTATCCTCAACTATTGATATAAGTGATCCAACGGCTCCCATACAATCTCCCATTTTTAACAAAGACTAACCTCAAACCGTAATCATTCTACCAAAGACTGGCCTCCCTTGTTTCCCCTTCCTCTCTTTTTTCTCTCATCCTCTCACACCGTGCTATCTCACAAACCTAGAACTAGATCGTGCAAAGTCACTCAAAGACAACTAAGAGCTTCATCATTTCTCTCTTTCAACCGCGAATCTAGTCAAGCCTACCTTATTCATCATCCAATTTGGAATCTCAATCCTCGAAACCCTAATCCTAGATGAGAAAGGGCGAGAACCTAGTCATTCCCCTCCTTTGCTCGTTCAAATCGACACATGCAACTACAGATCTATGAGATCTTTGATATCACCATGACAGTTCTTAGTCCAAAGGTCTATCGCAGTGACCAATGGATTTTGGTTTTAACTGGTGGGCCATTTGGCTTCAACGGCGAATTCATTCATCATTTCGAATAGGTAAACTCTCCTTCTATTTTTTTCCTCTGTTTTTCTCATCTTTTACCCTCTTTTTCTCATCAGTGTTTATCGTCACCTTCCAGTAATTTTTTCAAAATTCAAATAGAATCCTATGTCTTGATTGCAACTATAAATAGGGGGCTTTAGTGCCCTCATCAAACACACGAACTACCTTAAGAATCCTATTAAATTCTCCCCATTTAAATACTTTAAAAGTTCTACACTGGTTTCCTTTCTTTCGTTTATTTTTGCTCGAGTTCAACAACTGAGAATTGATTGTGAGCTTTGGTTCCTTAACGGCTAATAACTCCTACTTGGTTTGCTGCCCTGAAGAAGGTTAGTAGACTGCTGACCCCCCTTTAATTATTCGGTTATTTCATGTATTATCACGTAGTTCTATTTATTTGTTTTCTTCTATTAATCGCTTGCCTATTCTTCTTCATGACACTCATCGGCCAAGTATGTGACCTTCAATTTTATTTTTGCTGCTTGTGTTGTTCTTCACTTAATTAACTAATACTTCTTGCTAATTATTGTGTTTATTCCCTATGTTGTTATTTAAACAATCCTCTTATAGTGATCAGTGAGTTATGTTTCTCACACTTAAATTACCATTTTTGTATTGCTAACTAATTGAAATGATTTTTGTGCTTATTATTGTGATCCTTGTAAATAGCCCTGTTTAATTCCTTACGTGGATTGAATTAATTGATCTTTGTGTTGGAAACTATGTTTTCTATATACTATTGCTCTGTTAATTGAGCGATGCTTATTGATTTCCATACTTATATTATCATGTTGATTAAGCTCATTGAATGATGTTCATAAACCTTCATGTTGTCCTGTTTATTTAACTGAAAAAATACTCACGCTTATATCATTATGTTGTCCTGGTTGAATGATCCTCATGTTTATAGTATCATGTTGCTTTTGTTTAGATAATTAAAATGAACCTCATTAATAGTTATTCCTACATTACCATGTTAATTTGCTTGGTTAAATGGTTCCAATTAACAGTCCTATTTATGGTACTATGTTAGAATGGTTTATGTTAGCAAGCATGCGTGTTTACCATGATAACTTGAATAGAAGGGGAAGTATATGACAAACTTTGTTGGCATTATTTACTTTAGAGTTCAATAGTGATCTTGTTTGCCTGACTATAATGATGAGTTGCAATCACATGCCTTCTTTGCCTTAGCTAGCTGTAAGTAAGTGTTTCTTGTTATCTCATGATCATTTAACACTGTCCAAAAAGTTTTTCATTGATATATTTGAGTATTGCTAATCTTGATACCTTGGAATGTTTGACTGGATGTTGTTAATTCTCAATATGTATTATTATGTTAGATGCCATGACTAAAGAATTCAAATAGTGAGTCTGAAAGTTGAACTTCCTATTCATGCTTAATGTCCAGGTTATTCTGACTATTAGTAGGACCCTTTTGGTTGATTCTGGGTAATATGTTAGCATGGATTCTTAGTGTGTAATGAAGTCTCAACTATGTGCTTCTTGCTTGTTGTTGAAGGGGATTTTTCTTAGGCTGTTTTAGTGTTCTATAACTTACTTTGATAATCTAAACCTACTTAAAAGGAACTCAGTCTGATTAGATCCTTATAAGGCAGTAGAACTTTGATGAGATTTGATAAATGACTATATGTCTGTCCTTTGCTAACTACAGTTGCCTTTAGTACCACTTAGAGTGACATTGTCAAGGTTAAAGTTGTTAGTAACACAACAGGCATGACTATAGGGATGTATAGTTAATCACATAATTATGTATGCTTACAGCGACAATTCTAGGAGTATTCTACAAATGTTGTGCCACATAGAATGGTTCAGAATCAACCTCTAAGCCTTTGAAACTATTAGAAACTTTGAGAATTCACATGTGGTAACCTGTCCTTATGTCCCGTGTTCTGATAATGATCATAGTCTTATACGCAAGCATGTATTAGTTCTTGGCTGCTTATGGCTTTGTATTTCAGTGACGACTTCAGTTCCTACAATGATTGTCAGTCCAAAATTATTTGTGCCTTTGTGTGATTGGGTTCCCTGAAATATGTCATGCTTAGATGAGGTTGAAATACTATATGAAACTTTCTGCACTTCTGCTAATGTGTTTCATGTTGATTGTATAAGGCTGCATGGGCACCTATTTGGTTGAATGCTAGGTTAAGTTTTCATTTTTGCCTAAACCTCTGAAGAAGAGTGAGGTTCATTACTTAATGGTTTTTGGTGTGGTCTTGACTTTACTGGTGAGAAACCCCTCCCTGGCACATGCACTGCTCGGGGTTCGAGAGACCCTCGTGAACTCTGAAGTGTCAGGGGTCCATAGGGAACCTTATAAGTATATACGTTTCACCCTAAGCCCATAATCACTGACCTAAATTAATCCTTAGGGGGGTTCGCATAAAAGAAAATTTTGATCATGTTTATTGTAAACTTTATTTTACTTCACTTTTATTTGCACATCTCTTTCTCTTTTTCTATGCATGAATTACTGGGCCTGGTTTGTTCATTGAGAACTCAGGCCTAAGTTAAAAGAACTGGCTGCCTCGTGTGTCGTCCGTCAAAGCCTACTGTAGTTTAGAGCCTATCTGGGCATGATTAATTTATCCGCCCAACATGAGAGTCCAGCCCCCTTCTCCTTCATCTAATATTATTATTATTATTATTATTATTATTATTATTATTATTATTTATGGAATTAACATTGATATTGGATATTTATTTTTACTTTGATTATTTAGGACAAACTTTAGGTGAATCAAACATAATAAGGTAAAATGTGACTTTGACTGGAAAAGTTACTCGCCTTAATAATCCTAATATTTTTTCGGAATCTGGACGCTTTGGAACTAACAATTTAGCCACTAATGTTTACTCCGTTTTGCATACCTTTCTTTAATGAGTTTAATTTGCTTTAGGCACTTACACGATTCTAATATTATTATTATTATTATTATTATTATTATTATTATTATTATTATGGAATTAACATTGATATTGGATATTTATTTTTACTTTGATTATTTAGGACAGACTTTGGGTGAATCAAACATGACTTTGACTGGAAAAGTTACTCGCCTTAATAATCCTAATATTTTTTCGGAATCTGGACGCTTTGAAACTAACTATTTAGCCACTAATGTTTATTCCGTTTGCATACCTTTCTTTAATGAGTTTAATTTGCTTTAGGCACTTACATGATTCTAATTAGCATAAGGATGAACTACCTTTGAAAAGCTTTCAATAGTCACATAGGCAATGTGACATATGAGTTTTTGAAACAATTCGTACACATGGTCATGTCCGATTTTAGGAAAATGCTTGGATTTATGTCAAACAACTTTCCAAATAAACAAAAAAGGTACATTTTATTTTGATATATATTGGGTGTTTGTATACAGTTTACGTTTTCCAATAATCCATTATTTTCATAATCCTTATGGCATAGTTTTAAAAGAAAATGTTGCCATTATTAAAGAGGTATAAATCTTTTCTCAAAAACAAATGAACTAAAATATTATTCTCACTTATTCAAGACTTTCATAGAGGCTTGTAAGTTGCCTTAATAATTAATCAACATTTCTTTCCCCTCACCTAGCCTAAGTTTAAGGAACTACCTCAGGTAGATTTTGAGGGATGTCTAACACCTTCATCTTAGAATAACTAGAATCTTTTCCCGGATCTTATTGATTTAGTAAACCATTGGGATAATGATCTTCATAGACTTATAGGTACCCTAGTATACCTTTAAATATTAGGTGGTGACTCTTCCTTTATCAATTTCAGAGAAATCATGAGTTGTATTTTGTTTGACCTGTGCAATATAGGATGCAACATTTATTGTTTCACTTATGTCTTCTACCTTGATTGTTGTAGCTACATATATACCTCCTATCTTATTGTTACTGTTAGCTATGTCTTCTTTGGTGTTGTTATACATGTGAATAGTTGAAATGCACGAAGGGTGTTATCCTGCAATTGGATTTGACATACATACATTTGGTAAAGATGAAATAAATTCATGAAGGGTGTTATTGTGCTATTTTATTTGATATCTTGCACAAACCCTTTTTTATTATATGATTTTGCAGTCATGATTTATATTGGTTCACATATGTTGTTTCTTCCTCACAAACTTGATTTAGTGGAGAGGTTTGGTTGTTATATTTGTGAAAGATGGAGCCTTGCATCGAAGACGTACAACATTTTCGATTCAAGCAACCTTTTGTTCATGGTAGTTTAGGACTTCAATTCTATTTGTGTAAACTTTAAACACATGTTATATTTATTCCTCATATCAACCTTGTGAATCTAAATCATGGTGACTCATGACTTGTACTACTAGTCCTTAAGATAACTGTATTGATTTATTATGTAGTCTTTATTATTAATATTGACGATTTCACATTATAGTTGTAACTTATACTGTTTGGCTTACCTAGTGGGTTGAGTTAGGTTCCATCACGATGTGGTGGAATTTTGGGTCATGGCAATTTGGTACAAAGCTGTAGATATATAGGTTCTATGAGTCATGAGCAAATGTCTAGTACAATCTTGTGGATCGGTAAGATGACATCCACATTTATCTTCGAGAGGCTACATGGCATTTAGGAAACTCCCAATTCTTTCTTTCCTTATCATGTGTCATTGATTTATCTTGAAACCTATATCCTCAATTTCTTTCCATTCACTCGTATGTGATGTTGAGCACTCGGTATCAGCTGTGCACTAATGACTTGTGATTTAGTGGATGGGATGCGAGGGTCTATGGATACTTTATCATCGTCTCAATGGGTTGTACAATTTTGAGAAGTAGGTGTGTTGGTGGATGTTCCACTTGGTCATTTGAGGAGTACAATTAATTCTTATGTTTTGTTGACGAGTGTATACTCAAGAGGATTAATTGGTTGTCTAGTTGTCCTGACCCATAGGGTCATGGGAAGATGTCGATTTGAGACTAATATGTGGGTTATCCCTATGAGAAGATTTGAGGTTGTGTGTTTCGTATAAGGATTCTATTTATTGGATGCATATACTACAATTTCAGAGCACTTGAAGAAGTTGACTTGACTATCATAAGGAATTTACACTTGACAGACGATTAGAGTGTGTTGTAACTAGTTCTATGTGAGTTTATTAGGAGATTCAGCTGGATAACAACATGAGATCATGGCAAGTTAAGAGTATTGTGGTTTATCAGATGATGTGTTTGTAGCTCCATGCCAAGTGGAGGAATCTACCATCAACGATTAGGTCATATGGGCATGTGTTGTTATAGTTCCTGGACTAGGATGTGCTTGTGGATTATTTACAACTTGAAGAGGATGGCTTCGAGAATGATTCGAGCAAGTGATTGGATGAATACATGATGTAATATGCTACATTAGTATAGGAAAGTTGTGGAATGACCCAGGTTTGATATAGGGTGTGCAGAGAGAAAGGCTTTACTTGATTGTTTAGGGATGAGGTTGCGTCTTAAGTATTTATGTGCTAATGGAGCACATGTTGGCTGTGCATCGAAGTTAGAGCAGAGTGGATAACTCAAGAAGGTCTTAGTGGGTCCAAGGTTCATTGTGGTTTCAAAGGATTTCTATATTTTTTTGTCGCTAAGATCTGAGATTTGCATTGGATGGTGCCGAGACTTGCAGTATTCTATATCATTATTGATTCTATATGACAGTATTATAGAGTTGAAATAAACAATTTTGGCTTTGTTAAAGGTCTCTTCATGGCGAGCATTTCGGTTTGAGTTACTTTTGGGATTAACAATTTTTATGACTTTGTTAATTTAGATAGATCCAGTTCCGATGGCTTGGCTGTTTGCTAATGGGTTTCGAAGAACTCACGATAATTTTGACCGCAACTTGAGGTTGATGTTTTCTATGGGCATGGGAGGTTTGTTGCGTATTGCAATGTTCTCCTAGATTGAGTTACATGGAAGGTTTCTAGTTGATGGAGTGTTTATCCAACTCGTGATTCAGAGATGATGATAAGGTTCTCGTATTTTTGTATTGTAGCATGGTAGATGCAGTGAGTCATGAGGCACTAGTATTGTATGGACAAGGCTGTGGTTCAGTTTAGAAGAAAGGTCGGGAGTTTTAGACAGCATGGGTGATTTCAGATGTTTAAGAGGATGCTAGCACTATCATTGTAAGGCCCCATAAATTTTTTACCTAGGACCCGAAGTTTCATGGTGCCGAGGTAGGCTGATGTGTTTGAGGGTTGTTGAAAGGGTACGGACTTTTTGGGTAGTACAGTGCGTCAGTTAGTTGGAAGAATAGTTTTTGCAGAACATGGTACTTCTGTGGTCCACTATACGATCGCGGAATCACTTCACGGACATCAGATCGAGCGTAGAATGCAACAAGAGCAAAGCCATTTTTGAAGGTCATTTTGCGAGCGCATAACTATTTCGCGGACCGCACATTCGTCGCAGATTCAACATGAAAAATTTCGGAGGGAGATTTCGTGGTGCGTTATGCGACCTCATGACTATTCTGTGGGCTGCATAACAACCGCTGACTTGAGCAAGCTAGCCCAGTTTTGCGACCCTTTTTGCGGTCCATTTTGCAGGCCGCATACCTGATCTGTGGTGCACTCTGCGACCGCATAGTTGAGTTTGGAGGGTCCATTTTCTATTTTTATAACCCAACCCCATTTTTATTAAATTACTTTGGGGGTCATTTTGGCTGGTTTAAACGGCTGTTTTAGAGAGAGGGAAGTGTCTTAGAGAGAGAGAGGAGGAGGAATTCCCAAGTGCTTTGTTCATCAATCTTTTCCCCAATATTGAAGATTTAAGGGAATCACTCACTAGGCCACCACCTTCGGTAAGTTCTTGTTCTATATCATCCATGCAAGTTCGTTTCGAGTCTAAGTGGGTCAGGGAGTAGAAGATATGGCTTTCATGTATCAATTGAGGGGGGGGGGGGGTCTTGGAGGTTGTTGGATTACCTGGGATGAATTGTTGGTTAATATGGGTTGTGGGTGAAGGAAGTCCTCCATAACAGGACCTTGAAATCATATTGCACACCTAGTGCTTGATAATATGCCTAAATGGGATAAACCCATGAATCTCTTCCTAATTATGATTCAATTTTGTCATCTCTCTAATAGATTGAAGTCTCTAGGATTTTCGGAATATTGTAGTAGTTTAAAGAAAGCTCAAGCGAAGTATGTTCGCTATAGTTCTCTTGTAAAGTCGAATTCCATGATGTGCTCGTAATATTCAAGTGTGATTGGCCCGAGTTCCTCATTCCTACGTTACGCATCATTCCTAATAAATTTTATCATTCCAATTAAACTTTATGTTAAAGGATATACATATATATTCAAAATGTGTTCCAATTGCTCCTATCATAACATGATCTCCTTCGAGAATGTATTCAAGTATGAACAATGTATCAAAGGTGTTGTGATTTAAAATCATGTTCCAATTGCAAGTTATTGTGCCTGATTGTGGAAGAAAAACTCAATGTGCTCAAGACCCTTATTGCTCATACATATGCCTAAAGTCTTGATTTCAAATGGTCTTATTGTTGATAACGTATGATGATGCTTGAAAGTGAAAGAAGTGCATGTGAGATATAAAGTGGAGCCATCGTGCCAAGAATGAAAATTACACTTATGGCTAATAGTGCCAATGAAACGAAGAGGATGTGTGAAAAACTATGAAATGAACTGCAAATTCCTTGTATAATAAACGCTTTGGGAGTATCATTTAGTCACGGAGGAAGGGTAGGTTTAACTAACCCAACCCAGAAACTACACATGCCGGTATAAGAGTGGTTGAGGGTAAAATTCACGTATTGGTGTGATGAGATTATTCCCCTTAAATAGGATGAGATTGATGTGTTGAGATTATTCCCCTTAATTAAGATGAGATGATTGCTAGCGGAAAGTGATGTCGACCCATACGGCATTATGGTGAGACGACTTAGCTGATCGGGCTGAGATCAGACTCTATGTTGCGCACATGATGGTTTTGTGATTGGATGTCCTTAGGTGAGACGTCTTAGCAGATTGGGCCATGATCGGACTCTATGCTAAAAACACAGTGGTGTATCGGTACTAAAGATCTCCCAACCTAAAACTATTGATATTTACTTGGAAACTTATTTTGCTCTTAACTTGTTATTTTATTATTGTTTGAGACTCTCATTGATCCTATATTGTTTCTCATTTTAATGGTACTCGATTCTTAGAGAGGGTGTTTAGTCTCACATGCTAGTACTATTTCATATGCACTAACGTCCCTTTTGCCGGAGGCATAACATCTTTAATGGATGTAGGTGGTTCCATAGCAGGCGGCATCGATCAGTGATAGCAGTACACCCTCTTCTCAGCTGACTTGGTGAAGCCCACTGAATATCGGGGTCTTGTGTCTTTTGTTCCTAATGTATAGTGTTTTGAGGTATAGCCAGGGCCATGTTGCCGGCACCATCATTACTCTTTTGTATCCATCAGAGGTTCCGTAGACATAGTGTGAGTTATATTTTTAGTTGGGTAAAAGTCAAACCTGAAAAGTTCTACTTGTAACACATGTTTCCACTTCTAAACTATGAATATGTAATGTATTTTGAGAATTGCAAATGAAGTAACTAGTGATAATGAAATTGGTGTTATTCATGAAATCCCCTCGTTGTATAGAGAATGGTATATATCTTCACTTTATTCATGGGTAAGGTCGGGTAGAAAGTATCGAGTAGGCTTGCTTGACCAAGGTATCTCGGTTGAGCGATGGTTGCGCTCCCCGTGATCAGGGAATGAAAATCTTGTATCGCTTGAGAAGAGTGTGCGTTGGGGAAGGCACATTGTGTAATGAATTGTTGATGCTTGACTAGTATTTCAGTAATCACCTGGTTGGTAACTGCTGGTATTTATGTTTTTCTACGTGGCACAGAAGATTTATGGGAGTATTTCTCACGATGTGATTGTGTTTGAGTGATGTTCTAGTCATTTGAGTGGGTGAGTTGGAGATCAGGTATGGAGATTCATGCATTCTTGAGGTTTAGAGACTAGTTGTTCTTAGAGGCAAACTGTTCCTTGGTTGCTGACTGTGAATATATGTTAAGAGTTGGGACAACTAATTTATGTGTTGTGGTTTGGTCATCGTGTATTTTGGGAAGGTTATTTACCTAGTTTGGTATGATAGGAATTTTTAGTCCTAATGAGAATGTGTATTCTACATCGAATCAGGCTTCCTTACTTTTGCGCAACATTCGTTGTGGGTGTATCATTGGGCAGAATAGATGTTGTACCCGCCCTCATTTGTTTCATGCATTACTCTCTTATGCTATGATGGGTTTTTAGATTTCTTGACTATTTACATGCATGATGTGGTTTTGTTTAGGCTTTGTGGCGAGATTCGAGTGAGATGGCTCTTGGGGATGTTAAATTGTTTATTGAACCTTGGTTGTGGTTTTCTTGTCTATGGTATACTATACTATCCATTTCTCCGTGGTTATGGTCATCCACTTCGCGTGTTTGCTGTTGATACACATGTGGTTGTTGATTGTGAGCATTATGGCTCGAAGGGTATTCCATGTGGATCGGGCTACGTGCCACGACGGAGTTATGTTAGGATATGATTGTCTGTGTTTACTTCGTGTGTTTTCTTCTCACTTGTGGGATGAATCATAGCATTGTGCCTTGGCGACGGTCGATGTCGAACTTGTTGGATAGTTCTTTTATTTGGTTCTCTTTCCATCGTTGGTTACATATGAGTTGTTGCTTATTGGGTGCGAATCACATCATATGTGGCTCTAGGCGGCATTGGATGTCGCTTGTCGATCGAGCATCTTGTACTGGGTGAGATGAGGTTATTGGACCTTGAATTTGTGCAATTTCAACTCAGAATTTGGCAATAATCCCTGTCATACATGTTTCTTTTATCATTAGCAGTGTTGTGGAGGTTTGGAATAAGGTTTTATTTGATATGAGGTATATTGTCGGTATCGGGTTAGGTGATGAATTTCTATCGTGGTTAGAAGATTATGCTACGAGTATATGGGTTATATGGTATATTGCATGGTTATATATTGGGATTATGTATATGACTTGATGCATCTTGTTGGGATTTATACAATGTATCTATGCAAGAATCAAGACTTATAGGGAGTTCCAGAAGTTGGAATTTGGTCCTTAGGATTGTAAAGTAAATTAGGAGGAAGAATCTTCATTTAAGATTGTGTTATGGGTTTATAAGGGTTGAGGTGACGTGAGATCACCCATGGCTAGGTGCATGATAAGTTCTTACAGTGATTAGATGACTTTGGCATGACTCTTGGCACGTTTGAAGATGAATATATGTTTAAGTGGGGGAGAATGTAACGACTCAATCGGTCATTTTGAGTTCTATCATTTCATTCCATGATTTGAGACTTCGAGTGGCTTCATATGGTGTATTATAACTTGCGTGTATTGATTTGATAGAGAGATTCTCAATTTGGAAGCTTTAAGATGGAAGAGTTGACCAAGGTTTGACTTTTGAGTAAATGACCTCATATTGGTGATTTGTGATTCCAATAGGTTTGTATGATGATTATGGACTTGGGCGTATGTTAGGATTTGAATTTAGATGTTCCTAATAGGTTTTGGCTATATTTGTCGAAAGTTTGCAATTTGAAGAATTGGAGAGTTTGTAGGTTTGAACGGGAGTTGACTTCGGTATTATCAAGCTCCTATTATGGCTTTGGGGACCTTTTATAGGTTCATTTAAGTTATTGAAACTTGTGGGCAAAGGATGGTTGTGATCCGTAATGCCTAAGTGTGATTCACGCGCGTTCAACGAAGTTTGAAGGTTTGAAAGTTAAGAGAATAATCTTGATCTTTGATTATTGGATTTGACGTTATTTATGATTTTTTGAGCCTTTGGATAAGTTTGGATAATGTATTTGGACTTGTTGGTATGATTATACGGGGTCACGGGGGCCTCGAGTGTGATTCGAGGTGATTTCGAACCTTTTAAGATGAAGTTTGCATTGTTGATTTTCTTATGCCTTTGATGTTCTTCACGATCGCTAAGGGATAATCACATTCGCATAGTGTATGTTTGGAGCTGGGCTTGTGGTTGGCGTTCACGTGTCCAGTCATGCGTTTGCAAAGAATTTGCAGAAGGTTTACGCGTTCACAAATGAAAGCATGCGTCCGTGTAGAGGACGAGCGTGGCTGAGTACTGGGTATTTAGATTCGTTTTGTAGTTGAAACGATTGCGTTGTAGTTGACGCGTTCGCATAGTGTGAGTTGAGTGAGCTTTGTGATTGCGATCCCGTTTCTGTGATCGCACTGAAGGTTTGAGCAGGTGGTTGCTTTCTTCTTTGCGAACGCAAAGGATATCCCGCGTTCGCGATGGGTACACCTGGGTAGACTTTATAAGTGTTATATTTCGTGATTTCACCCATTTTTTTGTATTTTGAGCCCTACCTTGGAGGTAAGTTATTTTCACTTGAATTTTATTTTATATATTGATTACCCATGGGATTTTACACCTAAAACTTGGAATTTTGAGATGGAATTAGGGATTTTGACCTACACTTTAAGAGAGTGTACTTTGGGGATTTGGGTACTGATTTGGATTCAGTTTTGGAATCTAATTATATATTTGGACTCGGCAGGTTATGGGTCATCAGATTTTTGTATTGGTTCTGGATTTCGGTCACGCTAGCCTAGGTTGACTTTTGTTGAATTTTGGAAAAATTAAGGCTTTGTTGTTGATTGGAAAGAGGTGGTTGTTTTCTTCTTTGCGGACGCGAAGGATATCCCGCGTTCGCGATGGGTACACCTGTGCAGACTTTATAAGTGTTATATTTCGGGATTTCACCCGTTATTTCATATTTTGAGCCATAGACTTCGAGAAGAGGAGATTCTGAAAATCAATTTTACTACTACATTGGAGGTAAGTTATTTTCACTTGGATTTTATTTTATATATTGATTACCTATGGCTTTCTACACCTAAAACTTTGAATTTTGAGATGGAATTAGGGATTTTGACCTACACTTTAAGAGAGTATACTTTGGGAATTTAGGTGCTGATTTGGATTCAGTTTTGGAATCTAATTATATATTTGGACTCGGCAGGTTATCGGTCATCAGATTTTGGTATTGGTTCTGGACTTCGGGCACGCGGGCCCGACTTGTCTTTTGTTAACTTTTGGAAAGATCAAAGCTATGTTGATTGGGATAACTTTCTAAGGCATTGGTTGACTTCTTTGATTGATGTTGGCTAATTTCAAATCGGTTAGAGGTTCTTTCATAAGGTAATGCGATTATGGAGCTTTGGCCTAGCACGTATAAGTAAGTGTCTTGCCTAGCTTTGATTGAGGGAATTTTTGCTACTAATTAATGATGTTTGCTACATGCCGCGGTGATGTATGTATGAGAGGGGATGAACATAAATACATGTGTCATGTGCATTCATGCTCAGGGTATATTCTAGATTGCTCTATGCCTTATTTGATTTTATGTTCTACTTCTATGTGTTATTCAATTAATTGACTACTTGAGCACGATAAATGCAATACCTAATGTGAGGCTAATAGTATCTTATTTGGAGCATGATGATTTATTTTGGGGGTTATTATTACACTTGCTAAGACGTGCTCACATGTATATTGTGAACACACATATACTTGCTATTCTTGTGTTGTGCCTTTAATTGAAGTATGACTACTTGATTTCCTTACTCACATTAAAGACTACAAAATGTCTTTTGATGCTTATTTGGGGCATGGTGATAATTTGGGTTACGTACTACATGTTGGGTCTGTGGTCAAAAGAACATATAAGCATACATCATACTTATGGATCATCCCTTGTATACATGCACATGTCCATGCATGGTTATTTCTCTATCCACGTGCATTGTAAATGCTTATTTTCCAACTCATATGTATACATCACTGCATATGATTTTCGAATATGGTCTATGGTGTGTCATAAGGTATTTGCCGTGCGATTGTGATGATATTGTGGCACGAGGTCTTTGCCGTGCGATTGTGATGATATTGCAGCATGAGGTCTTTGCTATGCAATTGTGATTTTGACTATGCACATGCAGCAAAACAAGGGTGGAATTCTTGAGTATGCACATGTGGCATAATAAGGTGGCATTCGTGATTATGCTCATGTGGCGCAATAAGAGTGGCATTCTTGATTATGCACATGTGATAGAATAAGGGTGATATTTCACTGTTGACGTTCATGTGGCAGTATGAGGTTGAAATTCTTGATTATGCACATGCATTCTTTATGATTTTCATGAATTTCACATGTCTTATACATATTATCCAAGCATATCATTTATATATGCTAGTCGACGCAATCTTCATATACATTGGACGTGTTAGTGGGTCGGTGGACACTCAAAGGGTGTTTCCCTGCTTCTTGACATTATGATATTTGCACGAAGGGTGTTTTGTGCAAGTGAAGATGTGAGTTTGTAGCAAGAAAGGTGTTTCCGTGCAGGCTAGGACGAGAGACATGCATTATACTATGTTATCTTTCCTTCACATATATACTAATTCCTTATTCTAAAGTTGTTATTATTGAACTTATGCTTTCTACCATGCTTGTTGTTGTTACTTCTATGTCTCCTATCTTATTATTAGTGTTAGCTATATGCCTTTTACTTT